AAAAAAAAAAATATATATATATATATATATATATATATATATATATATATATATATATATATATATATATATATATATATATATAAAACCAAATCAAACTACTTATGCCAGTTGCAAGATATAAAGGAGGAGGACCTAAAGCAAAGCAAGATTTGAAAGTAGAAAGTTCATTTGTGGCAATTAGGGGTATATTTTTAGGGGTATGCGGTGTCTGTCCAGTCACTTTAATGTTCATGTCTATAGCATCCATTTCAGTTGAATGCACATTGCCAATTATGGAAATTAGTAGTGGCATCATTTAGGAACACAGCAACTTTTTCCTTGGTGAGGAAACCGCAACATTTTACTGGGCGTCTGTGAGAAACTGGGTGAAGTTCAGTAGTTGGCTACTTTACCAACTAAAACAATGGTGACGATAGTGGTAGTTGTTCACCTGGAAATTGGTGGGTTGCTGATTCGAGAACCCACTCTGATCGTCTCGGTTGTTCTTGCTTAACAGCATGTGTCCACTTCACCCACCCTGCCTGCTGGTGGTGGTCAGACGTACCAGTGGCACCGCCGGATGGCAGCCTTGCTTCTGTCAGACTGTCCCAGGACAGCTGTGGCTACAATCCAGCAGCTTGGCCCCCCCATCAGTGTGTGAATGGGTGAATGAATGAATGTAATATGAAAAGCTTTGGGGTCATCTGGACATAATAAATTGCTATGCAAGTACAGGTCATTTACCTTTTTAAACTGATGAGGTATAAAATTTGGTTGTAGCTTTAACAACCTAATAGCACAATTTGCAGTTGCACTTTAAACTTGAAAACATGTTCCAGTTAGATGCACTTAGAAAATGTCCAATTATATTTAACTTGAATTTTTAAAAAAGAAAAGATTATTCATGAATAATTCAAAGAATAATGTGATTTTACAAAAAATACTTTACCTGAAAGGCCAATCTTGTGAGGCGTTTGTACGAGTCAAATTCTGTTCCAGCGTGAAAACTTATTCCTGCTGAAATATTGGAGACTTTCCAAGATTTTTCATTTTGGCATTCAGTCCCTGATCCCTTTTATTGAACAACATTCTGCAGTCTGCAATTTTGACTGGTATTTTTAAGATTTTGATTGACTGCAGGAAACCTTTATGTGAATTTCATTACGCACGTGTCTTATAGGATGTTCTGATAAATCTAGTAGAGACAGTTGGTCTCTGAATGCCAAAATATTTCTGTTTCAACATTTTTCTTCAGATAATTGCATGATGAAAAAAAAAAAAAAACATTTCCTTTCAGTCAGCTTCCGAGGTGAAGAAGTGAACTTAATATTGGAATTTCCAGACATGTTTCAGATGCATAGTACATTTTTTTTATGTGAATGCTTGGTGACCTTTCATTGCTTTTCTTTCTGGTGAAAAGCCACTCAAATGAACAATCTTCATTCTGTTGGGAACAACATTATAACTGCACTGACGTATTTTTACCTTCAAACATATAATGCTCATGCAGCTGCTAAAGTTAAGCATTTTCTTTTTAGGCCATTTTTACATAAAGTGCAGCAAAAATTGGAGAACTGACGCATGCTTGCAATTATTACTCTCTAAACAAAGAAACGGATTAGAGATTTATTGTTGAATGTGACACCAATTTTGGTGTTCCATACTCATGACAAGAACAGAGTGAATCCGCATCATGTAAAGAGATTGAAAATACCACATTCTATAAGTACAAATGCAGATATAAAAACACTATGACCGTAATGCCACGGTTCACTGTTGAAAGTCAGCGATGGCAGTCATGTTTTATATATTTATTCTTTAAGATCATATTGTAGATTTTTCATCTCTCCTGGATATAAAATAGACAAAAATAATTTACTATATTGCTCAGAAATCTTTAAAAACATTTCCAAGTGATCACGACATTAAATAATCAGTGACATTCTGGAGTTTTTGCAAAACACAAATAGCAAAATATGTTGATTTTTTTTTATTTTTTATCATAGACTACATAATTACGAGTTCTTCGATCACCAATATTCGTCTGTAAATGTCTTCAGCAACACTTTGGAATGACCAGGAACCTCTCGTGTTTAACGATTAAAACAAGAATAATAACAAAAAAAGGGCCATTCAGTGTTTTCAAGAGATGAAATTAAGAGTCGAGCATGATTCGCATAAAATTCTCAATTTGCTGGAGGCATTCATTGTCTTCATCTACTATAGCCCTGCCAGTAATAAAAAATCTGGTACTAGTAATCTCTGTCTTATAATTCTCTCAATAAAATATGATTATATGTGCAACCACCTGTCAGTGATTGGAGCTGTACTAGCTGAGGCACACATTTCAAGTTGACTTTCTTAACAATATGTGCAAAAACAAGAGAAAATGAACAAAAGAGGGATTTCAGTTTGTAAATGACCAGTCATAGTTTTGTCATAGGTATGTGCAGATTGTTCCAGGGTCCCATCCACAGTTCCTCTTCATCTGATATTGTGCGGTCACTGTGTTGTGACTCCAGTGTTTCCCTACTGCTGTTGTGGTTGTCGACAGATGTCTCTTGCTCCCCGCTGACACACTGCCCGCTGTCAATTATAGCCTTGGTAATACTGGCTTTGGACCCAAAGGTTTTTAGATTTGTAATGGCGGATCCCAAAGAGCCACAAGAGGACAGAGTGTTGAGGTTTACGTCCTTGTCAGAATGTAAACCCGAGCTCGTTCTGTCCTCCGTGTTGTTTTCTACGGCCTCGTTGTCTGCAGTGGGAGGGGGTTCCTCGTGAGTCACACCTAATTTGTCGAGTTTTTTGAAATGCTTACTTAGTCGGCACGGGGAGCCCATTTTTAGGTTGTTTAGATGGGCTGGCCTCCTGGTTCGGACAATGGTGCCGTTCTGTGCGAGGTAGATATTCCCATTGATGTTGCTGTGACTGTTGGGCAGTCTATTCTGTTGACTCTCTGTAGTGCTTTCCTCTCCAGTAGAGCTGGACTCGTTCTCCCGATCAACCACAAGTTTGATCCGTTTCTTTCTTCCAGGCTGTGAAAAAGAAAATTAAAAAGTCAAAGTCAATAAATTGCTTTTTTTTTTGGAAGATGAAGCAAGTTGTTGTTAAAACAAAACCAAAAAGAATATATATAAAAAAATGCCACATAGAAATCAAGTTTTCACAGCAATCAAACCAAAAAGCCAAGACTCTTTTTTGAGGCTTTATATTTCGAAAAGTATGTGAAAGTATAAGTAAATATGGAGTGGTGCGATAATCTCGGTTTTATGCAAAAACAAAGAACAAAAAAGAAAAAAAAAAAAAAAAAAAAGAAAATTTGATTTCAAAACAGAAAATTAACATATTTCCCTGCAACTGTTAAATTATTACCTTTAAATAATCATTGCATTACTAAATATGTCTACCCTGTAAGCATTGAAAAAAAAAGTCTTTTTTTAAGCCAGCTGATTGGCAATGTGCAATAAAAGGTCACACAGCTGGTTCGATCTACTTTCCGCACGCACACAAAGTTTTTGGTAAAAAAAAAAATTAAATAAAAAAAAAAAAAAAAAAAAAAAAAAATAGGGGGTTTTAAAAAAGCTCAGTTTCTAGGGTGCTCATGTGAATCTGGAGAAAAGCTAAAAAACAAAACAAAACAAAAAACACACAACCAATTTTTAATTTTAGCATCATAGTAGTGAAGAGGTTTTTGCATCCTCCCCTTCTATGTCCAGTGGAATAGATAGACTGGATACTTCTTGAAGCAGATTTTTTTTTTTTTTTTGTTTTATGCAACACGCAAAAGTTAAAACGCATATCAAGAAAACATCTGTCAGTTTACAGTGAGAAACCATTTTTCAGTTAAGTAAAATATTAACATTCGGGTAAAACTGATAAAAAAAGAACATGTAAAAATAGCACTAGAATACTGCACAAAAAACAGCAAAAATCATGAAAAGCACACAGAGAACATCAAAGAGAGAAAAAAAGTCAATGTTAGAAAAAGGAGAGTCAGACTCATAATGTGCAGCAGGAAACCAGCTTTTGCCCTACTCAGGGAAAATGAGAAAAAAGCAGACATTTGAAACAGTCTGTAGAAGCAAGCAATATTTTTTTCACTCCCATGCAAAGGTAATTGATTTTATTCACTCTTACTTCACAGGGACAATAAATCTCGCTAGAAGGCCGTTGAGCTCCCTTCAGATCCTGAATCACCATCTGATGTTTCTTCAGTGCCTTCTGAGCCCTTTGATGCACTGACTGAAGATTTATCAGAGGAGATGGCGTCCTCGTCCACTTCAGTGATGGGGGACAGGCCTCCGTATGTATCATCAGAGGTGCTTCTGATCTCAGGACTATAGGTCTGACCACGGTAGGGAGCAGAGGGTCCTGGGCCTTCAGAAACTACACTAGATCTTCTTGATGATGCTTCATCGCTGGCCTCACTCGCAGAGTCCTTGCTCTCATCAGCAGTCCCAGATTCTTCCTCCTCCTCTTCCTCCTCCTCCTCATCACTCTCCTCTGTGATTGCATCCTCTGAACCATGGCTCAGGACAGACTTTCGGGAACGTCGACTTCCAGCAGTGGACTGGGAGCCAGCTGAACTCCCCTCACTTCCAAAGGAATGCTGACTGCCAGATGAAGATCTTTTACTCAGCTCTGAACCGGATGTTTTTTTCTTGCTGGACCCCCAAGATGAAGAACGTTCACTTCCTGACCCTGATTCTGCGTCACTAGCTGTTCCTGTCCCTGACTCGGCTTCACTGAGTTCTTCGCTGGACTTCCTTGAGGATGCTCTTGATGAGCTGGTTCTCTGTGTGGATCTCGCACTTGATCTAAAGGAAGATTTACCACTTCTGACACTACCACTGCTACTCTCACTTGCACTTTCACTACTTTTACTGTCAGTCCCACTAGCAGTAGCAGAAGCGCTGCTCCTTCTGCTGGCCTCAGTAGCTGAAGACCTTATAGAAGTGCGTGCAGAAGACCCACTTTCTCTTGTGCTTTCAGACGCCTCTTCTTCCTCAGACTCTTCATCTGAGTCTTTTTCTGTTGCTGAATCCCTTTCTGTACTTGTTTCCTTTTCTGTTGCTGTTCCTGTTCCTGATTCTGTTTCCTTGTCAGAGCTGGACTCTTCATCAGACTCCGACTCTTTCTCTGTTTCTGACTCTTTCTCCGTAGCCGAGGACTTCTCAGACACCGATTCCTTTTCTGACTCTGACTCTCCCTCAGTCTCTGATTCTTTTTCACTGCCCGAGTCCTTCTCTGTTTCCTCCCCCTCTTCAGATTTGGACCTGCTTTCCTCATCAGAATCACCTGGCTCTTCATCAGGCTCTTCCTCTGAGTCCACAGTGCTTTCATTTGTGTCATCTCTGTCCAAGTCAACTTTAAGATAATCTCTGTCAACACTACTTTTCTCAGAGGATTCTTCATCAGAGTCTTTCTCCTTACTGCTTCCACTTGCACCTCCTTCTGGCTCACTTTCGGTCACACTAATAGACACTTTAGACTTCCTTTCATCCTCGCTGGCTGCCTGCGAAGCCTCCTCATCTTTCTCACTGCCTGTGGCTGAGCCGTGACTCACGCTACTCTGTGACTTCCTCCTGACCTGCAACTTGTTGCCAATGGTAATTCTCTTTAAAACTTTGCTAAGCCGGCTGCGAGCATCCGACTTGCTATCTATTGGCCCAATAACTGCCGGTCTGTCCGTGAGACTTTCCTGGCTGTCAATACGGCGGGCTGACATCAGTTTGGCATAATCCTTGTCCTTCTTTCCAGCGCCAAACATCTTGAGCATCTTGGCTTTCTTCCATGGAGATGGGCCAGGAGGGCCGGCGTCAGATGGTTGCTCTCCTCCCTTGCCGGCTGCCAGGAGTTTGCTGAGTTTCATGACAGACTTCAGTCTCTTGGCAGCCTTAGAAGGTTCACCTTCCTCTGCTGCCTGAGGTTGGACTATTTCATCCTCTGCTGGCAAGTCCCTAAAGGCAACTCTCTTCGGTGGACCTCTACCTCTCATGCCACCCCGGCCTCTGCCACGGCCCTAAGACAATCATATTTTATTTAGGAATCTTTGTAATGATATAACCAGGGTATGGTTGTGTCACACACTGTATATAATTTAAATGACACCTTGGGTATTCACTGCATATTAGTGGTCGTTTTTGCAAATACCATTAGTATTTAAAATATACAATATACAATTCAAGGATCAATAATACCTCTGGGCCATGTGGACTGTAGTAATACCCATCATCCTCCATGATCACCTCACCATGCTCATCATACATGGGTGATATCAGCCTCCTCCGACTCCCATACTGAGGAAAGTCATATCTGAGAAAAACAGAAAACATACACATATATATGTATTAAATAATGCTCTGCATTGTATTTAATCCTTGCTTATTTAACCATTCCTTTAACAAACAATATGCATAAAGATCAGCACACAACTTGAAAATGGAATTGCCCTAGACAAGTGCGTGTGCGTGTGTGTGTGTGTGTGTATATATATATATATATATATATATATATATATATATATATATATATATATATATATA